CTCCCTCTATTTGTGCGGAAGGTCTCAGTAAAAAATACAGGATTTGTTTCACAACTAAAACTATCCTCTTCCTCGCCATCAAAAGCGCGCAAGTTTGCATTAGACACATGCTCTGCCACTGTCCTTACAAATGGCTTAATGCACAAGCAACAACTGGAATCAATTGCTATTTTGACTCTGAGGAACTGTCAAGATGTAAAGTTTGAAGAGCTTCATGTGTTGACTTCCTTAAAGAGGTTGCAAATATCTCATTCAAGCATAAATGATGAGCAGCTATGCACTTGTTTGAGGGGTTTACAAGCGCTTACCTGGCTGGAGATATCTAATTGCAACAACATCACATGCCTTCCACAGATGGAAAGTTCAGACTGCTTAACAAAACTTCATGAGCTACACATTCAGCAGTGCTCTGAATTTTCCTCTCTACACTCTATGCCAAGTTTTGCGGCACTAGAAAGTGTATTGATCGAAAATTGCTCCAAGATCACTGTGAAATCTTTCCCTACCAACTTCAACAGCAACACCACTCTGAGAAAACTGAGCATAATGAATTGTGCTGAGTTGGAGTCTTTGCCAAGTGGCTTCCCATCTTCTCTGCAAGTTCTTCATTTAATTGGGTGCAAACCAAATTTGATGAACCAACTACAACTCAAGGATGGACCAGAATGGGATAAAGTAGCTAGTATTCCCATAAAACAAATCCGTTGATTAGAAGCTTTTATGCAGATCAACAGGTATATCCTGTACCATTAGGAAGTTGTAGTTGTTTGTCTCATCATTATTGAGAATGTCAGCTTTCTTATGAAATAATATTTGTAATCAGTGAGAATGTGAGATGTAGAACTTTGCCCTCTGCAGTCATGAGTTGAGAATGCCATCTTTCTTATAAAATGATAATTGATACTCTCTCCGTCCTGTAATATAGCACACTCAAGCATTCAAAATTTGTACTCAAATATAAGGGGTTCTAGCCTTCTAGGGATAGAAACTAGTTTTGCATTAAATTCTTTCCACTTATCAAGCAATCATCATTAATCATGTTGATGATAGCATTTAATTAATAAACAAAGTGACAACACATGCATCTTTTGTGTTCTCGCTTAATCTCTTCTATTATAATTTTTAGAATGCACTATATTACGGGATAGATGGAGTAAATCAATGAGACAGAGCATTGTGCCCTCTGGACTGACAATATGCACCTTCGGTTAGCAAAAATTAGATAAGAAGCTGACGGTGCCTTCTGGATATATGCTGACAATATGCACCTTCCGTTCAAAAGGTTTTCAGAGAAGAAGCTGACTTCCGTCACAGTGATGCTAACAATTTGTGTCTGAATGAAATCCTATCGTGCAGGACAGAGGATGAAAGGATACCGAACGAAGCATAGTTACCGACAGCTTGTTCTCAGATTGGAACTGTTTAGTGTTTTGAAACTGTACTGTAATGCACTCGTGTCTGCGTACCCATATCGGCTCATGTATCATTTCATTTATATTTCTGTCAAATATGGTGTTGTCACCTTCAGATTTGTAAAATCTCATATCATGAGATGACATTTTGCGTACAACTCGTACAAAACCGTGCATTTAAACCAGTCCCATCACCCGTGTATCGATGAGCTTCCACATGTCAAACCCTAAGTTGGACTCTGATGCAGTTTCCTGAGCTGTGAAGACATTATTTATCCCTCGGCAAAATCAAATCTGTTCTTTTACAACAAACAACAATATGGATTGTTCTTAACATTGTAAAAAAAAAGCTACCTTCTAATCTCCTTTGCAAAACAAAAATACTTATACTGCTGCCTTGTTCGTTTCGCTGAAATTTGGCTTATACTGCTGCTTACGCTGATTTGCTGTGAGAGAAAAACACTATACGTTCGCTGAAAAGTACTGTTGAAGTAGTGCTGCAGAACAGTCGCTAAAAATTTCATGTTTAATAACTACTACTAACCCCTAGCTACAACACTGAAACGGACATATTTCCTCCGTCTTAAAATAGACGACACTTTAGCAATGAATCTGAGTACCCCTAATTCTACACCCCTGACGACTCAAAAAAGGGACCCAATGTTAGAGGAGTCAAGGGCCTATTGGGCCTTAGCCCATTAGGGTTAATTAGTCGCTTGCTTAGGGGCCAAGTCAGACATCTCTATATAATGAGAGGAGATGTATCAATCTAGAATCAAGCAAGAGATTAGAAGGAAATCTCTTCTCTCTTGCCGGCCGTGGGCGAAGCCCTGTGGCCGGCCTCCCCCAGCGCCCTTGCAGCCCTAGCCGCCGCCGCTATGAACAGTACCCACGGACACGGTAGCTCCACGGTACCGTAGCACGCCCTTTTATCTCCATCCAAACTGGCCACATAACAATCTGGTATCAGAGATCTCTGGTTCGATCATGTGGTTCGATCATGTCCACCCGCTGCCACCAGCGTCTTCGTCAGCGCTGCTATCAGAGATCTCGGTTCCGATGTCGACCTCGCTGCCCACCTCCACCACTCCGCCGCCGCCCACCAATGCCTCCGCGCAGCTGCCTATCCCGCAGACGTCCCAGCCGGTTCTGCCCGCGGGAACCCTGCCGCTCGTCCCCGAGACCTCGCTGCCGCTGGCCGCGGAGGCGTCTCCCTCCACCATGGGCGTCATGTCGAACGCAGAATTGACGGCCGCGGTGCTCGACCTCGGCAAGATGGTGGGCGGGATTCATGCGTTTCTTTTGGGACCGCAAGGACCGCAGGTCCTGCATGCGAGTTCGGCGCTCGGCCCTTTCCCGCAGCCGGTCAGCTGGCCGCCGCAACCGTCCAACGGACTCTTGACCGCCGAGGAGAGCAGCAGTCCCGCGCTGCTTTCCACCTCTCCTTCATCGATCGATCGTTCACCACCCCCGACCCGCGCGCCAAGCCGCCACAAAGAGATAGCGATGGCGTCTTCAACGGGGGCGTGGATGGCATCCAGGCATCGGCGGCGCAGCTGCAGGCGGTGGTGCATTGCCTCCTAGCGCGCCGGCAGGGACGACAACACCCCATCTTCAAGCGGCGGCGTCCAGTCGTCCCTACAACAGCAGCCTTGCAGCTCACGGAGAGGAAGGCGATTGCGCGGGCAAGTGCCTGCAAGGTGTTTGCGGCGGTGCGGCTGCAGGCTGCGGCGCGTGGCCTCCTAGCGTGCCGGCGGCTGCAGAAGATGCACTCACCTATGCACGAGGCGACCTTGGCGGCGGTCGACCTCAGCATAGGGGAGCACAACCTAGCATGGTCGGTCGACCTCGCCTGGTCGGACAGCCACCAGCAACCGCGGCAACCTGCTGTTGTCTTCAGGCGCAAGCATGGTGTTTTTTCCGTGGACGGCGAACTCCAACTCTGCGGCACCGGCGATATGGGAGCAGCTTTCCTCCTTGTCACCGGCGGGGACGCACTGCCTAGCGCCATCGCATTCCGCCACCGTCCGCCACAAGCACGTCTCCGCTGGTTGTTGTTGCCACTAATTCTAGGTGGCCATACCCGTGCACCCCTCTCGTTCCGATGGTCTCCATGGGATCCAGGTGGCTACACACGTGCTGGTCCACCAAGCGGAGGGTGCCCGCCGTATCTTCAGGAGTAAAAAATAAAGAGTCGTAGTCTTCTTCAGGTCAATAAAATAAGCCGAGATGTAAAAGGCTTATTTTTAGATGTTAGGTTTGTGTCTAGTAGAGGCATCGTTAGTGTCATCGTTAGATTGCAGCTCGAGGACGAGCTGCATGTTCAGATGGGGTGTAGTGTTAGAGGAGTCAAGGGCCTATTGGGCCTTAGCCCATTAGGGTTAATTAATCGTTTGCTTAGGGGCCAAGTCAGACATCTCTATATAATGAGAGGAGATGTATCAATCTAGAATCAAGCAAGAGATTAGAAGGAAATCCCTTCTCTCTTGTCGGCCGTGGGCGAAGCCCCGCGGCCGACCTCCCCCAGCGCCCTTGCAGCCCTAGCCGCCGCCGCTGTGAACAGTACCCGCGGACACTGTAGCTCCACGGTTCTGTGGCACGCCCTCTCCGTCCCAACTAGCCACATAACACCCAACTACTACTCGGTATATATATTCCAAGCCCCATCTAAGGTTTGTTGTAGAACCAAAAAAAAAAAAATCAATTTCTTTAAAAGCAAGTTGCATTTGTTTCGGTTCATACTACCATTTCTACTGTATTCTACAGGGCAGTGAGTGCTATTAAACAGGAAATTTTTGAGGGCTCAATAGCTCCTTTATAGCTCTTTTCTTTTTCCTAAACAGGCCTTATCTTTGCTATCAGACATTCAGACCCCTCACATTAAGGAGGCACTTGCTATCCACATTCCACAATGACCTATGGAAAACTGAATCCTATGCATATGATCACAGAATAGAATCCACACGCCATCAAAGCGAAACTGCGTCCGGAATGTAACCCAAAGTATCATATCTTTACTTCTTTTCTTGTGAGAAAGGAACAATAGTGAATGCCATCAGTTTACTAGTGAAAAATAAAAATGGTATACCTTACAAATGGGAAATAAAAAGGAAAAAAACAAAAAAACAAAAGACTATACATGTTTGTCAGGATACAAAAACCAGCAAAACTGGAATATAGAGAGCTTAAAAGACTGCCAAGTGCCCAACATGGGATCAGCAAACAAACCAACAGGTAACAGTTTAAAGTTCTGAAGGATCAAGGATGTGAACAGCCAGATTCTTGATCCACCAAATTGGAGTTATTCTGACACAGACACCAAATCACAGAGACAGGTTGAGTTCAAACAAATTCTAGAGATTGAAGTTGTTGAGTTGCTCTTTCCTTGGAAAAAAAAATCTGCACTTCATGTCTGCTCCTGGGATTTGTTTGTAACGTTTGATTCTGAAAGCACACCAGAATGCTGGTTGTTAAATTAACCAAATAACCTTGCAGGTTAGTCCTTTATCCCATAACGCTGTCTCCTAAGAGGAATAGAGTTCAACTCTTATGTGTAGCCTTACACATCAACCAAGGCCTTAATTGACCTTACTCCACAGCATGTTTTGGATGTTTAACTGTAACAAGTTTACTAACACGGCCAAGATGATTATCATGGAACAACAATATAGGTATACCACGCACCTCAAGTTGTTTAAGCCTGTATATACTCTTGGGAAGTTTGTTCGTTATACCACTGAAAGCTAGGTAATGGAGATGAACCAACTGGCTAATAGTTTCAGGTAATTCTGCAATATCAGATTCACTAAGACCCAGGACCCGCAAGTTCTTAAATTTGGCCAAAAGTTTCCTAGGAAAATGACTTGAGGATAATGATGGGCTTCTGAGAACTAACAATGTCCGCAGCCTTCCCAGCCTGTATTTGCTCTTCAGCTGTGGTAAATAATCAGTTGAGATAGACAGGTGACGAACTGTTGGTGGAATCACAACAGGAACATCCTCATTAATTTTCATGCAATCATGAGCAGAAAAATGCTGCGCCAAAGTGTGCATTAGGTCATCCAGTAAGTAACTCGTTTGCTGGTCTTTATTTGCAGTCCCAAAGAAGGAACGTGATAGGAGATCATCGAAGTACCTTTGCCCTAAATCTTCCATCCCTTTCCCTTCATCTGTTGGCGGTTGAATGAAACCGAGAGCCATCCACATTTTGACCAAATCATAGCGATTAAACCTCCAGGTCGTTGGAAATATGCTGCAATACGCAAAGCAGCGCTGGAGGTGACTCGGCAAGTGTTGGTAACTGAGTTGGAGGGAGGAGATAATGATATTATCACTAATTTCTGTGTTCATCAGTGCTCTCCATTTCCTTGTGCTCCTGGTGCTACTTATCATTTGCCCAATAGCTTTAGCAGCTAAAGGTGATCCCTTAACATTTGCAACAATAGCTCCTATAATCTCTTGCAACTCAGGTGGAAAATCCATGGGTTGCCCACCCAAAGCAACTTCCTTCAACAGCAACCAACAATCACTGCTTCTTAACCTGTCAAGAGAAACCACATGACCCGCATTCAGAACCTCAGCTACTAGCTTCATCCGAGTGGTCACCAAGACCTTGCTCCCGATTGCCGCATCTAAGTGGCGCTAACACTTTCTTCCACATGCTCCTATTCTCTTTCTCGGTTTTACCCTCATCAATCCAAACATCATCAAGTACCAGGAGGAACCTCTTAGATGCAACCAATTTCTCAAGCTCCTCCTGCAAACTATCCAAACTGGCCAGACCATCATCGCACAGTGTATCATCTGCACAACCAATGGACTGTAATATCTCCCTGGTGAGCTGGGCCTCATCTGATCTATCCCAGACGCAAACCCAAGCTCTCATATCGAACCGCGCTTCGATTCTCGCATCGTTGTACACGCACTGAGCAACCGTGGTCTTGCCGATGCCTCCATGGCCAACCACCGCAACAACCGGAGCAACCGAACGGCATGTTTCCTCGCAATCATCGACGAGCCTGGCGATTATGGAGTCGCACTCCTCCCCACGCCCGAATACCTTCCGCTCCGCGAGCACGGAGCCGGTTACTCGGTTCGGCGACCGCACACCGCATCCCGCCGCGGCGCTGGCCCTGCCGGGTCGCAGCCGCTCCGAATCGTCGCGGGCGCGGTCGAGCCTCTCCGCCAGTCGCCTCAGCTTCCGTCCGGGGCCACGGAACGTGGCGTATACGCAGGCCAAGAGCGCGGGGCCGACCTGGCGCCGGCTGTGGAGCTCGTCTAGGATGTCCTCGGCGTCGGCCACCGCGTCCCTGAGCTCGAAGAGCCAGGCGTGCAGGTCGGGCAGCTCGGGATCGCCGGGCGTGAGCCACCTCCAGCGCTCGAGCTCGCGGGCTACGGGCTGGATCCGGAGGAGCGCCGCCGCGAGGGCCCCAAGGGGGTTCCGGGGCCCGGCGGCGGCGCGGGAGAGGGCGCTGGCGCGATCGGCGAGCGAGGCGACGTCCTGCGACACGGGCCACGGCGCGGGGGCTGGCATCGGCGCGAATTGGAGTCTGGGCTGCGACGGATCCCGTGGGTTTGCGCCGGTGAGGCCGTCAGGGGTGGGGATCGGGGGATTCGGGGGAATTGGCGGATTCTCCCTTGGTCGGTCGTCGCTTTCGTGTGTCTTTGGTTGACCACGCGCAGTAGAGTCGGCTCAACAACGACTCAACGAGGCTCGGGAAGCCGCGGTGGGCCGAGTCGAGCGCGTTGGCCGTTGCGCCAAGGCACCGTGTGAGCGAGAACATACTCCCGTGTACCCTTTAGATTTTGATAGGAACCTTAGCTAGTCATGCTTCATGCTTCACAACCTTGCTCGTAACTAAACGAGCTGTAGAGACAAAAAAAAAAACAGGCCATCAACTTTGTCAGCCTAACGACTCTACGGTGGGTGTGTTTGTTTACTCAGATAAGATTTCGTAGAGTTGCATGTAAGTGGAGAGCTGGAGATCGAATGAGTGGACGAAGTGACCTAAAAAGAAAAGTGTTTAGTTAATTGTATGTATAGATGTAGTAACCTATATCTACAGATGTGATAGCTCTGTAAAAACATTTATTAGTTATATGAGCTTATACCTATACTATTTATTTTAGACTGGTACCTGGGCCAATGTCTTATGCACTGCATTTACCTCGTCATGTTCACGAGTCAAACTCAAAATGGTCGCCCCGACGTAGAGATGGAGCTGTATATTTGCATGCCAAGCTTTTTGTTAAGGTTTATAAGCATGAATGAAACCACTTCTGCTTCACTCTTTTCTCTCTCCCAAACATGCTTCTCTCTCTCTCCCATTTCCGATCCACCTCGCCGCGCCGCCGCTCCAACTCGACGCGCCGCCACTCAACCGCGCCTACACCGGCGCGCTGCCGTGTCCTAGAAGCGACCGAGACAAGCGCTGCGCCGCATCGGCGACAGGAGAGGCAAGTACGACGGAGCAAACATGCAGCTAGGCTCTTGCTTTTGGCTATAACAGACCAGGTTTTCTCTTGGTCACAATCCCCTAGCTCTTAATTTTTATTTTTCTTGGAGCGTTGGTATTTTTGAACTTTTTATGTGAAATGCTAGATCTGGTTCGTGAGAAAGCAAAATGTGTGCTTTTCTTTACAGTGGCCAAGACATCAATCTGGTTTTGAGTAGGTTTAGTACTCAAATATTGTTCCATATCTTGTCCCTCCAATAATATATGGTTTTCCTACAGTTTTAGGTTCTATGGAACCCTATGGTGTTCCATATCTGTATATTAGCCTTTTTTTTCTTTCGTTTTTTCTTTCCTTTTTATCTTTCTGATATATTTTTTGTTTACAGATATCCCCGATATGCTTAAGCATTTAATCTACTTTCGTTTATTTTCATAGACCTCGGATCTACTGGTTATACATTTAATTAAAGAACAGGTCAACTAGTACTTCGTCTTTAAAGCACATTATATTTATAGGAGTCATTTAATCGTGTTTTTTTTCCAAATAAACTTTTATAAAAATGTTAATGGACGGCTTTATTTTGTGATATACAACTGGTCCACTTTCAATATTCCCGATATGCATACTTAGTTAGCATTTGGCTGGTACACTTCATCTTTTTTGCTTTTATTTACATACTGCTTTTAGGCCCGTTCGGCTTACCCTATAATCAGCTTGCTTATTTTCTTTTTTCAGCCAGAACCGTGTTTTTCTCTCACAATAATTCAGCCAGAACAGTGTTTTCAGCCAGTTTCAGCCAAAATTCTGCCAGCCGAACGGGGCCTTTGTTTCTTGATGTGCAGCACCTGGTAGTCATTCTTTTTATTAGGTGTTTCATCATGTTTCACCTTGTTATTTGTTAGTTTCTTCCTGAAGGTTTTTATCTGCAGTACCTTGTTTCACCTTGTTTCTTGTTAGCTACTTGTTAGTTGCTTTCTAAATTAATTTGAAAACCTTAACTGACGTTTTAATTTTTTCTTGTATGACTTTTCCACTTTCACAGTACCGATTATGTTTCTTTAGTAGTGTTTTTAGTACTTCACTTTTAATATCACTGCACTTTAGGTTTTTCCCGTCGATGACACTGAAATTAATTTGGATCCATTTCATAAGCCTTTCTGAGTGCAATGTACCTGTTAGTTTAAAATTGTCCTAACTAAAATTCAGTTTGATATTGTCTAGTATTCCGCAGCTAGCTTAGTACTAACTATACAAAAATTGTCCTAAAACAAGTAACAATGTTTTCCTGGTGTTGGAGAGACAGAGGTCTAATTAAAATTCAGTTTGATATTGTCTGTAATTTAGTTTGATATTGTCCAATCCACAACCATGACTGGCGATAGAGAAGGCTTGCACCAATCTGCCCAACATCTGTTCCAATGTGGAGACAACTGGCCAGGCAAGATAATAGGCAAACGTTCCTTGTGAATTTTAATTGAACTAGACCATGACAGACAAGGCAGAGAGCTGCCAGCTATGCATTTAAAAAAATTGAATGCAATTAGGGGGAGAAAATCCCCACCTGAGGTTGAGATGTTTCATTCAAAAGGGATAGTAAAAGCTATCTGGCCAATGGTTTCCCAACATGCAAATTAGGCACTACTTAATGAAACTCGATTGTGTTATTAATATATTTTCAACAGTAAATTTGTGAGCAGTATATATGTATGGTCACCAGTTTTGGCGAGGACTACTCTGGTGATGAATCTGATGCTGTTCCTGAGAACCAGTCATCTGAGCATCAAATAGCAGGCGAATACTCTTCGTGGGAAGATGATACATGTCCAAGGTTAGTGTTTTAAGAATATTTCATGGAATACTTGGTCCTGCAACTTTGATTTTTCCATTGATTAGTTTACTTTATTGCACAATATCATGTGAAAATATTTTGGATTTATGCTTCCTGAGGCTTAGATTTTTCATTTTCAGTTCTTTGGATTAAATTGTTGAAAAATGAGGTGGCAAACATTGTGTTATCTCACTCAGTGCCTCAGTGCCATTGTGTTCCATATCTCAAATAAATGTATTCAAGCCTATTGGGCAGTGTTAGTAACTTAATCGCTCCACAAATAAAAAGTACTAATATTTAAAACAAAGTTTCACAGAATGCATGAGGATATGTTAGTTGCTGGTTTGGAAGAGGACAACAACAATCAATATTATGGCAATAAATCGGATACTGTGGGTGTGAACCAACCAATACAGAAGAATGAACCAACCAATACAACAATCAATACGCCAAGCACATCTTGTTGTAGTGCTCTGTTGCATTATGCCTCTAGAAGTGTAAGGTGCCTCTGCTTACCTTACTATGTGGATAGATATATGTTTGTGCTCCATTGTTCGTTGGTTATAACTGTTTTTGCATCAACTGGCAATGATGTATGGCTTTTTATCTTATCCCCAAAATGTTCGATTTTTATTTTGGGTACCATAATGGCATTTTTCGTTTGCAAAAGCTGATGGCAGCTTGTACATCTTTTGTCACGTGTTTGTGAAAATTGCTTTAGAGTTTTTGTTTTGCACTAAGTATATTGAATGTATTCTCGGCCTTGCAGGTTCAGAGGGCATCAGAGGGCATCAGATTAATATAATATTAAAAGAAAGAGAAGTCACATGTAATGGACAAACTGTGTTAATGGGACGGGGATCCTGATCTTCCGTCATGTAGAGGTAACTATCGTTGTGGCGGAGAATGACACACCGATCCGGCTTCAGATCGAAAGATCGAACCCTGCAATCTTAGCACCACAGCTTCTCTGGTTATCAACCAAGTCACGAACCAGGTTGACCTCGTCAAGAAAGCTAATCTCTGCCTGCGCAACGAAGAACATGTTGGATTTAGGCTCATGTTTGGCCCAATCTGAAAAAATCCAAAGCATGCACAGCCTATAGTCTCATATTGCTAATTCAAGGAGAGGTTGCCTTGCTTAAATATGGGAGTCTCCTCTATATGCAAAATAGGTGAAAATGAGATAGAAGGAGACTGTTGCTACACGCATGCGCAGCTCGCGCGTATTTTTCGCGTGAAAAATCGTGACTTGTGACTTGCGACGCATACGTGTACAACAGGCTATTATTTGTGCAGATTCTATTATTTATGCTGAGCATAATGACGCTTCAATGTGATTGAAACTGTCGTTTTAAACAATAATAAGGTGTGTCAGTTTCTGTTATTTGATTGCAGCATTTTCTGTCATTCAATTGGGCAGTTTTTACTGCTTGATGAGGGAAATTGATGCACTATAAAGACCTATAAAACCAGAAAACGTCCTGATTGAAGGGTACGCATTCACATGCTCACCTCCCCACTCGCTGTGCTGAGCTTCTCGCTGCTGCGCCTCGTCGACCTTTGAGTTCGACGTGCACCGGACTTGAAGAGAGCCGGATCTCCGAAACCACTGCCGCGAGACTCCTGCACGGGGCGGCAATCAGGTTTTTGGGCAGCGTCTACACGTGACCGCTTGGTGATCTGAAACATCTACTTCATCACGTTCGACTACGTTCTGCGCGGGATCATTGAGTAATTTCCTTGCGCAATCCTATTCTAATCAGTATGTTGTCTGTTTACTTATTTTATATGCTTGCATCATTTTTTATCTATGAGTTTTTCCTCCAAACAAAATCTGGAATGTATTTTAGGCACATATTTCCAACATTCCAAAAACCTGATTGTGCCTATTTCTGTGATCTAGCAATGGCAAATAATGCATCTGATGCTATGAAACCTGAGAGATTTGGAGGTGAGAACTTCCGCAGATGGCAGACAAGGGCCAAGTTTTGGCTCATGTCATTGGGGCTGTGGTGGGTGATATACCCTGTGTTTCCCATCACAGAGGAACAAACCATGCAGTTTGAGAATGTGAATAACACCGCATTGTGCTGCATCCTCACCATTTTGGCGGATCAACTCTATGATGTGTATATGAATTACTCATCGGCCACCATGCTGTGGGAGGATTTGGAGCAAAAATATGCAGAAGCCGAAGCCGGTCGCTGGCTGTATGTGTGCGAAAAGTTCTTTGATTTCAGCATGGA